GTTAGGGGGGGGAAATCATACCGCCAGGGAGGTTAAAAAACGAGCGTCGAACGCAACAAGATGACTCCCTCCGACCGGCATGCACCCTCTCCCCGCGACTCAGCCAAGGGAGTGACGCCATCCAGGTCTCAGCCCTCGCCGGGCACTGAAGTAGGAAGGAGAGCCAGCATACCCACTGCAAAGCTAGTGGGACTAGCTGGAGGCCCAAGGTAAGCCTGTTACCAAACTTGTGGAAGAAAAACCCCCCTGGCCATTTGCCATAGGGAGGCTCTCCCCAATTGTTCCTGTGACGTGCCTCCTCAGCTTGCCTGAGGAAACACAAAAAGACTGAGAAGCTGGCCAGAAGGTGGGCCTTTCAAAGAGGTCATTGGTGACGTGTTTCCTGTAGGATTGGGAGGAGCCTCCATATCTCAAGATGCTGTCCTGGAAGACGTTAGGGGGGAAAACGTGTTTTGAAACGTGCTCAAAACACGAGCATAAAATGCTCCTATTTGGAACGCCCAGGTGTGAACCCAGCCTAAAAGAAACCTGTACAGAATAAAAAATGGGCATTATTTTTTGCCAGTTAAGCATTGTAACTGCCTTTAGTGGGTCATGGGTGCAATGCTCCTATCTTCAGCAGACTGTTCCTCCCAGCTCCAGGTTCTGTACAGGACTGGAGGAAGTTGTCAAATGGACTACAAGTGTGGTGACTAGGGCTGCAACAACTAATCGACATAAATCGATTAAAAAAGTTGTCAACTTTTCCAATCATCGATTAATCGGCCTCTGATTAGTTGGCCCTGTTCACTGCTCCACACAAGCTGCGCGCCGCAACTCCTCCCCACCTCACGCTCACCGCTGCCAGACCCGCCCACCTGCATCCACACGCCGCACCTCCTCCCCGCCTCTCACATCCACGATCGGCACAGGAAGGCGGGGAGAACAAGGAGGAGCAGGTGTGGGGGAAATGACAGCCGCCGATAGACAGGCCTGATCTCAGAAGCAAGTTGCTGGAAGACTGCTCAGGTAAGCCTGCACTTTCCCACACATGGTGCTCTATAATGTATTGCTGGGATTTGTATTTCTCTATAGCTGATGGTATAATATACAACACAATGTACCATCAGCTATAGAGGACTACAAATCCCAGCAATACATTATACACTGTATGTATAGCTGTATTCCTACATAGCTGGTGGTATTCTGCATTGCGCTGTATAGGGGACTACAAATCCCAGCAATAGTACATTATACAGCGCAATGTGGAATATCACCAGCTATAGAGTACAACAAATCCCAGTAATAATACATTATACAGTGGTGCAATGCCAAATACCACTAGCTATAGAGGACTACAAAACCTAGCAATAGTACATTATACAGCTCAATGTGGAATATCACCAGCTATAGAGTACAACAAATCCCAGTAATAATACATTATACAGTGGTGCAATGCCAAATACCACTAGCTATAGAGGACTACAAAACCTAGCAATAGTACATTATACAGCTCAATGTGGAATATCACCAGCTATAGAGTACAACAAATCCCAGTAATAATACATTATACAGTGGTGCAATGCCAAATACCACTAGCTATAGAGGACTACAAAACCTAGCAATAGTACATTATACAATGCAATGCAGAATACCACCAGCTATAGAGAACTACAAAACCCAGCAATAGTACATTATATAGCACAATGCAGAATACCACCAGCTGTATTATTGGGATTTGTTGTATTCCTCTATAGCTGGTGGTATTCTGCATTGTGCTGTATAATTATTATTATACAGGATTTATATAGCGCCAATAGTTTGCGCAGCGCTTTACAATATAAGGAAGACATTACAGTCACAATACAATTTAAGACAAGATGGTAAGGAGGGCCCTGCCCGTGAGGGCTTACTGTACAATTGTTGGGTTTTGTATTCCTCTATAGCCGGTGCCATTCTGCATTCATTGCTGTATAATTTTACACTTTTCATTTCACTATATTGCACACCACACTTTTTTACTTCCACCGCTCCAAGCTTGCTCCTGTGATGGACTACAATCTCAATACAAACTAATAGTCCCATCACTGGAACCATTTTTTAAAATGTATTTTACATTTTTATCCGATTAATCGAACTTAATAAATCCGCTAACTAATCGATTTTGAAAATAATCGTTAGCTGCAGCTCTAGTGGTGACGTCACTGAACAGGCACTCCATTGAGGACTACGTTCTTCAGCCATGGTAGTCTCTTCATTCACAGAGCCTGTGAATGGATCTCTGAATGAATGACAAGGCTATGCAGGCAGAGCCACCCACAGTTGCTCCAAATTTACATGAACACAGAACCCCCCAATTCAGGTAGGCAGGGGGCTGGCGAATGGCACCATGCTTTATGTTCCTAGATATGGCTGTAACATGGTTCAAAATGTGGAATATGCTTTTAATACGTTTAGATTAATAAACAAAGAAATCCACTAAGTTCTTCTTCCACGTGTATGCATGTACATGTGTTTACACTGATTTACACACCTAGTTACTGACCGCACAGATTCTTCTGGTTTGAACCCAGGGATCCTTACACAGCACAATTGTACTGATGTAAAGGTAGCGGTGTGCACAGGCCCATAGTGTACAATACTGCTGCATTCAAAGCCTTAAGAAAATAGACATTTACAGATTGCAGCACAATGTTTTTTGTTACATTTGTGTGCATAAACTCCAACAGGTCTGCTGAAAGAAATGTAATTTTGTCAGCCTAGAATATAAATACCTGGAATAAAAAAAAGTTGCCATAATCACATCAAAACATAGCTGGGTAGACTGATGTAGAAAATAAACACTGAATTTTTCTGAATACACCTTGGGGACCCCTTCTAATGGGGCTCTGAACACCAAAGGAAATCCAGCAAATGTAGGTGATCAGCTGCTATGTATTTAATTGTAAAGATTAAGGTTTTTATTCCCGAGCAACAGGCTGATCACAGGGGGGGTGCACAGACAGGCTGATCACAGGTGTCTTGACCGCAGGACACAAGCTAAGATAAGAATGGAGTAATTGACCGTAGGGCACACACACACCTCCAGGGACAGGAAAGAGCCTGTACAGAGTATGACATCCTATTCAATACCACTCATCCTGTGCCCGATCCCTCTGGAAGCCCGTCCACAGCGGGCACCGCAATAGCAGAGGGCGGGAGACAGGGCGGACCACACCCGGAGAAGATGGGGATGTCGGCTCTTTGACAGCCTCGTCCAATAACCCCCCCCCTCTCCGCAGCGCACGATTCGGCCTCGGAAAACAACCAACCTCGGCCGGATCCCTGTCACACCCTGTGACAGGCTGACAGACCGGCTATTTCAGGCACATGCTGAGGAGGACAGGTCCCGTCACTGCACCTGACAGCGGCTCCTCAGATCTATATACACCGTGTAAGTACACAGAGAATTACACGGCCAATTATGCTCGCCCGCCCCACACTGTGACAGCATAGAGGTTACCTGCCCTGCTCCCCGTTCCAGAGCTCTGCCAAGACTCCAAGATGGCCGAACCTCCTCCCACCCTCCTTTCCGCAGAGATGACGTCAACGCGCAGCTGCGTTCATTTCCTAGTAATCTCCTGCATGGGCTGTGCCGGTGGGAGGTCTGTAATAACGCGCATGCGCCCCTTAGGCCGCGTTCAGTCAGTCACCTGCCAGCTGTTTTGCATCTCGAGTACGTCGAGTCACATGACCAGGGCCCAGCGTAACATAGGATCCTGCATTCAATGGAGGGCTGAATTCAGTACCAATATATGTAGAAAGAATAACAAAGGTCCGCTTGAAGGGTGATGTGTAGATATTGGGTTTGCTTGATTACATATATATACATTTAAAAAAAATATGTTCCAGTCATTGCCTGGACAAGGTCATCCAGTCATTACAGAACTTTAGTTGTTTTCAGAGATGGATGTCAAGTCAACCATTGATGTGCAGTATAGAGGCAGTGAAAGTGTTACGCTCATGGCACACATTACAATGTAGTTGTACAATCTCCTTTAGATCTGCCAGGTATGTTGTTCAGGAGCCTGCCTGATTGGATATAAGTGGATATTAGGTAGGTCGTTGTTGTCGTCCTACATAGCTTTTTGGTAGGTCAAAGGTTTACCATACATGTTACAATCTCACCATATGATGTTTGTACTAACCAAACTATGTAGTATGAGCCTGAAGAAGGACCTATCACTTTGTCTGGAGTTGGGGTTAAGGTTTACGTAAACCGGATCACTTAAAATCTCATATGACCTTTTTAACATGTCATTTCAAAAGTTCTAAATATTTTAAAGAACTCGAGGCGATCAAAAAATGAACCCTTGTAGTGGGGCTATACCTTCCCCCCGCACTGCAAGGGTTAACTGCTCAGTTTGGTATGGGGGCTAAAATAAAGAGAATATACTCACTTGATCCTGCAGCACAGAGCGCTCACCTCTCTCCCCCTCCACTCTGGCGGTGGCATGTCCCTCGGCATCCTTATGTCAAATGCAGCAGCATTAGATGTGATGACATCACGGGGCCTTAGACCACCGGAGCCCAGGGAAGAAGAGGCTGTGGGGACCGTTCTAGTAGCCAAGCAGGATCCTGGTTCAGGTGAGTATATGTTCTTCATTTTAGCCCCTATACCTAAATGAGCAGTTAACCCTGGCAGTGTGGGCAAGGGTTAATTTTTAAGATTGCCTGGAATACTTCTTTAAATCTGCATCTTTCATTAAAACAATACCTGGCGATCCTGCTATAAAGGTCCTTGTTCAGGTACTTCCTGTTATAGGGTCACAATGCATCTGACTCTGACCCATCTTTGAATAGGCTGACTCAGAGGCATGGCTGGAGGAAGGTGATAAATGTTTGGGGACAACTTCCAGAACTCTCTGACTCCCCTGGGGCTCTCCCTGGGAGGAGGTCTGTGGACTACAGGATGTCTGGTCTAGGCCTCAGCGTGTGGCAGATGCTGGGGGCCCAGAGACCTAAAATGCTACTGAAAGGAAACCTGATGGAAGCTGGACTGGAGGTGGAATCTGCTTACTAAAGAGTGTCGCAGAGGAGCTGGTGAGAGCTGCCACCTATACCCCTGTAAGAGATCCCTCACCCTACTCTCAGGTACTATACAGAAGAGAAGCCAGTTGGTGCACTACCAGTCCTGTGACAGTTCTCTCAAAGTCCTGGACTATTCCTGGCTGTTCTCTGTGCTACTACTTACAGGACCATGTCACTCTCACAGGACCATGTCACTCTCACAGGACCGTTGTGCTACTGTTACAAGCTGTTGCTAAGGGTGAAGACACTGTACTCTTTTTTTTTTGTATCTCAGGTATCCTGCAACCCTACCCCTCTCTCCTAGTTACTACTGAGCAATAAATGTTAAAAAGACCCTACGACTCAAGCCTGTTCTGGAGTGTCGGTGTTGCCGGAGCTGAGAAAAAGGGCCGGTGGCTGGCAAAACAGGTAGGAGAGCCCTAGTTCATATTCAGCAGCTTTTTCGGGTGGTGAGCGCTACAAAACCATCACTTGAGTGTATGCAAAGAGACAGGAACAGGGGTTCCAGAAGACCAGGGGCACACAGATTAAAATGAAGAGGGGCTGGTAGAATACCATGCTGGCAGGCTTGCATAAAATCTGGGTGTTAACTAAACAAAAATAAATTGGTCTTAAAACTAATAATGTCAAATTATAATGAGATGACTGAAGTAAACATCTAATGGATTATCGCTGCTTTTGCAAAAAAATAAATATTGATGGATTCATTGAAAAGTAGATAAAAACGACAATATGCCAAAACTGTATTATGCATAAAATGTGTTATCTCCATATACATGGAGACCCATGCAACACAGTAGAACACAAGTATAGGGCCAATGTCTAGCAACACCCCTGCACAGGAAGTGGTTGAAAAGAAACTGCAGGAGATCAGTAGTACTTCAATGAAACCAAGGATGGAAAAAAAAACAGGTGAAAGTTTGTGAGTCATTGGCTGGAGTCAGTCAGTCAGTCAGTCAGTCCTTCCTTCCTTTCAGAGACTCGCTGATTGTATAACCTCTATTCATATGGTATTTCCTCTTGTCCCTGCTTGGAGGGAATTCTCAATGTTGTGCAGTAGGATATGGTATTATTTAGGCAACACTCTTCACTTGCACCTTCGCTCTCTCCTCCATCCCCTTTGGTGTTTTTCCACCAATGCTCTTCCTCCTATGTACCTCCAATTTTCCTTATTATTTTCTTCTATTCCTTTTATGTACCTATTTGTTTTGCTACTCTATGTGTGGATCCTGAGCTGCAATTCCTCGTTTTCCACACTCTGACCTCATTCACACAGGGCAATGGGGCAGTAAGACCAGAGGGTCGATTTGTAGTTTTACCTTACCTTACTCCTTGTCGCTTGCTGCCATGTCAGCATTATGGCTAGACAGTGCTGTATACATTGCCACAGCCACAATGTTTTTCATCACACCCAAAAATTATACAGCACGTCGCGTTTGGCAAGTGCTGCTGCTTGTCAAAAGTGATCATTGCAATGAATGGGACTGTGATGCAACCTCATTGGTTTACGGTTTCTGCACACATTAAGGAGATGGCAGCATTACCCACTAAACGCCGCAAAGCCATTGCTGCACCACTCTCTGAAAAGTGATCCACTGTGGATCGGTTTTCTGAGGGCGATCGAGGCTGCTGCCTAAGTGTGCCTCACATTGGAACTCAAGCAAAACAAATGACAAGCGCACTCATCAACTTATCAGCTTTACAGCAAGGTGCACATGGAAAGGCTTTAAACAGTAATAGCAAAAAGTTTTCCCAGCACACTCACCAGCCAGCATGCAAAAAAACTTGTCTCACCGCTAAAGTTAAAAACAGAGGTTTAGATACACTTCTTCTGCAGAAAATGTGAAAGCCGCACAGCCGCGCCAGGGCACCTCTATATCGTGCGGTCCTAACTCTAAACTATGAGAGTCTCCATCTTGGAGCACATGTGGCAAAAGATCAAATTGGGTGCAGGTTTGTCAGGAGGAAGCTTTCACACTTTTTGCAGAAGTGTATCTAAAGGTGCCCATACACCTTACGATTATCGGACGATTTTCGTATGCGATCGACTTTTCGTCCGATAATCGTACATGTGCATTGCAGTGTCCGACCGACATTACTGTACAATCGTACGACTTTTGACGGTCAAGCATGTTTGAAAACTTTGCTAGATCGTACGATTGTCGTAAGGTTGCTGGCGTTTCCGTCCGTCAAAAGTCGTACGATCTACACTGCGCTTGCGCTAACGAAAATACGGCAAATCAATTACCGCATTTCGTCCAGGTGCTTTGCGTTAATTACGGCTAAATTAATCTTGCGATCATCGGGGCAGGATGGGGCTGCCGTACGAAAATCGTACGACTATTCGATCATCGGACGAAAAGTTTCGTCCGATAATCGTAAGGTGTATGGGCACCTTTATGCTGGGCACACACCTTACAACCATCGCAAGACTTTAAAGTCTTGCGATGGTTGTAAGGTAATTTTAAAAAACGTACGATCTGCCTATCTGCTTCCGATGACCGCAATGCCGAGCGGGCAGTGTCACTACGGCCCGTCCGGCTTTTATCTTATGAACATGCTACACTGTTTTTGAACCTTACAGTAGTAGAGGTCGCACGGCTTCCACACACCTTACGATAATCGTACGATCGCGGGATTTCCCGCGATTATCACAAGGTGTGTGGGCACCTTAAACCTCTGTATTTAACCTTAGCGGTGAGACAAGTTTTTTGCATGCTGGCTGGTGAGTGTGCTGGGAAACTTTTTGCTATCACATTGGAACTCGACACCTCTGGTGTCATGCATAGTTTTATATGGCACATTCTTGCCAACTCTTGGTACATGCTCTTGTTACTAATTGTCATTTCTCCAAGTGGTCTACTCAGCAATAGAAGTGTCTGAAAGGTGAAAACAAGCATTTTATTTTTATTTATTTTTTAAAGGCAATTTTTTATGATACACATAAGCTGAATGTCAATCCGTTAAGGTTTAGATTTATTTAAATGAAATAGATAAAATACCTTTTCTGGAGAAAGGTATCGCATGATCATGTGCGTTGTGTTCCCACAAACTGCATTTTCCTGTGCTAATAATGAAGGAAATTGCAGTGTGTTCAGGAGGCCAACATCTCTACATGCAGCACATACTCATACTAAGCTGTTTTACGTGCAGCCACTAGGGGGAGCTTGAAGCCAGCCGCTTCCTTTATCAGTATACTTCAATGTGGCTTCTGTATATGTGCATTTTCCATAGAACAGAAGCAGACCGTGAACAGAACACTATACTTCAATGCAGGCGAAACATCATTCTGCTGTGCACACTAGCTGCCAACAGAAAAAAAAAAGGTGATGTGCTTTATATGGCTTGGCAACTTCGGTGCTGCCCTTCTGCTCCATAGGAAGTGGGTGGCATGTTCTGCAGAAGGAAACTTGGCAACTATGCTCCTAAGCCGCTATTCACTCACAATTTATTTTAGCATACTGCATTACATAGCTGATGTCTCTGCTCTCCTGAATAGTCATGTCATCAAAACTAACAGTGAAAAG